CACGAGCGAAATGAACCCCAAAGGTCCCTACCACATATATATATATACATTTAGAAGATGCTTTAAACGTTCGGAGCTAGAATCCGCACGGGTCAGAGATGCGTCACCAATGTCGTGCTTGCTGTTCACTCGGGCACAATTTAGAGGAGGAAGTTGCTGTTCCAACGTCGCGACCCGACGGTAGATTTTGGAGGGCGGTGGCTGAAATTTAGAGAAGGAAGGGGCCATTCCAATGTAGCAGACCTTTTGGCAGATCCACTCTACATGGGCACAGAACACTGTCCAGACAAACCGGCCCATCATATTGATATATACATATATATATATATGTCTAATATTGACATCAGCAATCATTGGACCGATTTGGTTTGGTACATGGAGATGAGGTCACTCGATCTTCGCCTCAGCCGGAGTTTGTTTGTTTCTTTACTCCTTTGCTGGAGTTGGTCGAATTCCTGCTAGACCCTTGATGACCCTTGGTGTTTGTGGGGAAGGGCAGCGGTTGTGAGCTGAGGTTAAACTTTTTCATGGGCAAGCGTGCAGCAGATGAAGGTCGAACCGCCGTTTATCCATCAATTGACTTCTGCCACTGAGCAGCCTTTGACCCTGTGACATGGGAACGGAGGCACCCACATGTTCACCGAAAGACAAAAGTATAAAGTCTAGTTGGCATCCAAATCCTGCCCATGTCGCTTCAGGCTCAAACAATGCCTTAGAAATGCAGATGATGTGTGGGTTAAGAGTGAATGGAGCGACGAGAAGAAGGGCCCAATCAATCCTCTCTGAAACAAAGGTATGGAAAATGTCCCAAACATTCCCAAACATGTTTTTCCTAATCTTGCATATCAGTGTCCCAGGAAACAAGTTCCTGCTTTTTGTCCAACCATTTTGAAAACAACACCGGAAGTGTGGTGGTCGGTAATTTACACATCATATACCGGGGACCTTTGGTGGGTGTAAGGCTCGCAACATTCTGGTCAATAGAAATGAAAGCTTTGCACAATGTACTTTGCCATGGATTGTTCAACCTTGCTTGTTGTCAAGAGGACAATCTATCGCACACTGCTGTTCTATTTAAGACCAGGTTGCTTGCTTGTACATGATGTACATAGAGATTTCCAAAGCTAGTGGACAGATCGAACCATGCGTTGGGAAATTAGCCGACAACTCTGCGCCACTGGGCCACTGAGGCAAGAATCCAAACTCCATTTGTGATCCGAGCAGCCCACCGGAGCTGAAGTGGGTGGCAGGTGCGCAACGGGAATTGGTCCACGCTGAAATACGTAGCAAGTGTGCATCGTAGCGTCGAACACTTTGTTGATGACAACCCTAGCCTGGATTAGCCTGGCCCTAGCCTACGTTGATTATCAGCTTAGGTTGTTACCTGATAGGGCAGTCGTCAACACAACGTGTCGTTGTGTAGGATGTAGAATTTGTATGAATTTGTTGTGTATCTATATATACTGTATGTTCATGGATTTTTGCAACCCTTCTTCCCCAAAACGATCAATCGATATTGGCTGTTCTTGGAGAACAGAAGTGCACTCAAAAGATGTGTGCTGGACTGGACCACTGGAAAGGCGAGAACTTGGGTCTCAAAACAAGAAACACTTTTCTCCTTGACGCTTTGCTGAGAGCTGTGAGAAACTTGAGAGCTGCGATCCAAAGGGCCAAGGGGGCGCTGGAAGTCCGCTGGAGGAATGTTCTACTGGCTCAATGCTGTGCAACCCTACAATTCTGGTGGCTGGAACTACATCACAGAGCTGAGACTTTGCTGCCGCTGTGTTTTTGACACATTCCCTGTGGATTTGTGTCCTTGCTCGTGGCTAGAATAGGATTCGGATGGATTGAAGCTAGCTGCTTTCGGCAAAAGGATGAGTGATTCATAGTGGTTCCAATTTGCTTTCAAGGTTTCTACTGCCAGAGGCCTTTGCAAAGGGCATGCCAACACCAGCCTAAATCAAATCACTTGCAAGGCTTCTGCAGCCATGCTCAGGAAGAAGTGGGTGGACAATGGAATGAAGACAACAGACAAGTCCTTCATCAACGGTGCCTGGCTTCAATCTGAGGGTCACAATTATTGCCTACCCACTGCCTCACTGTTCGGTTTCCTCTATATATATATAGAAAGCAATTGGCAGTCGAGATATTTGCAGGTCCCCACCACTCACAACAATGCAGCATATTGCAGCATCACAACACCCGTCCTTAGGATTCCTTAGGTATATATTGTATATAGCAATTACATAATATATATAATATGTATATTACATATATAATACCTTTTAACTGTTGAGGTCATGTATTAATGTGAAATCGAACATGCAAACTTGTAATTGTTGCGTGCGTGTGCTACTACCTTGTGAAAGTGTCACAGACAGACAGACGAACCTTGTTGATGGTCTCGTTGTGGAGCTAAAACATCAAAGGGCTCGAACTTGGTGGGTGGAAGCTCCCACCCCACTATGGACGCACATATTTGCGGACAACATCCATTGCTCTCCGCGCCATTTTTGGACTACCTCGGCACTGCAGGTGCTTCTGGCATCGTCAATCGTGGTTGCCACAATCCGCCTAACTGCAACACCGGCGAGTTGCATGCAGGAACTGAGAGAGCAGCAAATTTTGAGAAGCTCAGCCCAACCTTAGTTGGCTTGTCAAGTTATACACTTTGTCAACTGGACCGTCGATGCAAGCACGCGACCCTGGTTGGACCGATTGATTGTGTGATACTTTGGACGGCATAACTTCTCCAGTTTCAAGTTGACCTTTGGTGGGTGGGTCGTGCTTGCTTGTAGGGACTTGCAATTGATGCACTCAAAGTTTGAAGTTATATATATATATATATCCAAGTTTTGCCCTGGGGCCCGTAGGAGTAGCAGAGCAGTTGAAAACTGAACACATACTGCACTACACTATACCACAAGGGCATTGACATACTGTACATGTTTGTGTTGAAATTATCCTGCAGTAGCTAAGGAAAGTGCTGAAGGCGATGGGCTTGATTTGAATTCAGGCAGAGCTCTGCAGAAGGAGCCTTTAGAATGCCTGGAGGCTCTAGAGGCATTCTAGCAGTGTTCGCTACATACAAAGACTCTGAGGCTCAATGTTTGAACGCCTTTTTGTTTGCGTTCGCCAGATCCGCTGCCAGCAGTTTGTGGGACGTGAGTGACACAGGGTGTGGAATCCTGAAGCAAGCCTGCTGCTTTGTGATTTTGAAGTACATAATGACATGAACATCATAAGGATGGTACCTTGTTCGCTTGTCAGTGAGGGTCTGCCGAATTCAGCCTTGAGTGATACTTCCTTCTGCATCTGTATAGGCGGCAACACGCTGAAGCCATTCTTGTAAAGAAGATGCCGGACAAAGGTCATGGAAGCGAGGAACGCAAGTGACGCATCGGCGCCCAACACAAGTGACTCCGAAGCTTTGTGACTCTTCGCATTGGTGCACAGGAAAAGGGCACAACTTGAACACCTTTTGAAGTTGTTGTTGCTCCTGCCCTGGTCATCGTTGGCCAACCCTCCTCCTGTCACTTCTGAGACACCATCAGCAACACCTCCCAAGAACATCCAAGAACTGCAAGTTGCTTGTTGATTGCCAATCAGTACGCGGTTGCCAATCTGTCGTGCCAAAGGTTTAGCATCACAGCATCTACAGTTTCTTTAGGCCAGAAGGATAGGAGCCCATGCACAGATGTTGCTGTTGGGAAAGCACTGCTTTTTAAGTGTCCCCACACAAGTCTCTTGGTGGGGTCGCCGGATGTGTCAACTTGGAAGAGATTGGACATTACAGGACAGGTTGTGGATCGCCTGGCAGAGTGCCATGTGCTCACTCGGGGTCCTCTTGCCATGCGGACGGCTGTAGTGTCCCTCAGCGTGCTGCCACCAGCTGCATGACAATCATCAGCCCCTGTACAATTCGCTTGGGTGAAAGACTTGACCCAAGTTCTGCAGAAGCACAGCAAAACAGTTGGATACGTTTTTTCTTAGGATTTCTTAGGTTGGAAACATTGCAATGCAGGAGGCACTTTTTTGTTGTTTGTTTCAAAGAATGACTCCTTATCCTTGACCTGTGCCACTTCTCGTGCTTTAGAATTGCAGATCCAAGTTTCAGACACTCCAAAGAAAGAGACGATAATGATACATAATGAAGCCGAATCTATTATAGAATCTAGCAAAGCAGACTTGAGTTTAGGGGATAGTGAAATGAATCGTGATGCTGAAGAAGCAATATGAATACTGGCCTCAAAATGCAAAAGTACGGTGGACACAGGGAATGTGAACTTGCTGCAGGATTTGAGTTCTACTACAACATGGACTGGAAGAAGTTCGGCCTCCCGGGCAAAGAAAAACCAACGTTTGCCCACAAACAGACAGGTTTTTGAGGCGGAAATCGGAACAGTGGAACATCCCAACTTTACAAGCGCCATTGATGCCTAGGCGTTTCATGTTGAGATGTCCTGCATCATGCCTGTGTGTTTTTGGGCAGGTTTCCGGACAGCGACATTCTACGACCTCATTGCACCATTCCGCTTAGAGGTGCGGGGCCCAAACGGTTGGAGTTCAGGAGGAACTTTTACCATTTTCAAACAGCAGACTTGCATGACTTTCCAACTCGCCTCCTTGTCTCATGTGAGCAGCCACATTTACTGACATCAAGAATAGTTTGGAGGTGGCCGCATTTTTCACAAAAACAATGTGGCCGCGCTGAACGAGGTAGGGTAAGCTATAAAACGAGATCTCCTGTACATGTATAATCCCTTCTACCTATTTAAAAACATGTCCCCCCGCACCCCCTATTAAGAAAAACTGGGTCGCATTTCTTTAAATAGGGGGTCCCTGAAATCGGGGTGGTCCAAAATAGGGTCACCTGGGAAGAGCTTCAGAACCAAAAAGTCACCCAGGAAATTTTAATAAAATATCATTGATTAAACTCGTATCAAAAACTCAAAAATCTCCAGATCGAAGGGTCTTCCTTTTCCCCTGCAAAAACCTTTATTAGAATACTGATTCTTTTCTACCTGTGTCATGGTGGATAGACAGGGCTGACAGAGGTGGGCAGTTACGGTTGTTTTTGGAACCTATATAATAAAAAGAACTACCCCCAAAATACACAATGTTGGTAGTTTAGTAGCGGCTTGAAAGGAAAGGGCGGTAATTTAAAACAATCATAGGACCGGATAGGTGGCAATTGGTTGACGACAATTGGTTGGTGGCAATTGGTTGGTGACACTTGGTTGGTGGTGGCAATTGGTTGGTGGCAAGCGGGAGGCGGGAGGAGGAGGACGGAAGAGGAGGAGCGGATCCAACACTAAAAACAATAACCCCACACGTCAATGTGGGGAAATATAGACCGTATTTAGGGTTTCGGACATGGTGTCTTTTAATTGGGGAGGCTTTTTAATAGGTACTCGGGATTAGTGCTGTGGCATCAGAGGTGCGCAGAAAATGAGACTCCAGAGAAGCACCAATATTAAATTCAATTGAACGAGATGGGGTGAAACACGACCTTTACTTTTAGTAATTATCAAAGGTCGTCGCTCACGTGAGTCATGTGAGCGCGCATGCTTCACACGCTGGGTGCTTGTTTGGCCCAAGCTGAACAGCCCGTCCAAGCAGCCGTGAACTTCACCGAGGTGCGGACTTCCTCGTCCAAACGCCCGACGGTGAAGAGCCACCATCGATAATGTCCAACATGGACACTATGCCGGCGGCGCCGAAGAAGGCCCAACAGAACATGTTTTAAGATTTCATAAAATTTCTATATGAACCATCATATTTTGACATCCCAGCTTCATTTTTCCTTAGTCCAGCTACCCCGGTCCGGACGACAAGGTCTCAATTCTATTCATTCCATTCTATGCAAAGCGTGCCGTGAGGCGACAAGACACCATATCATGGCATTCAGACCAGATCGACTCTGATTTCTTCCGGAGAAAGGCATGTTCAGTACAGAACTAGAACATAATGTACTAGAACCATCTATAATAAATAGATACTGTAACTATATAATTATAATAATCACTCATCAATTTATATATATATATTACAATTCTATTTGTTTGTTGGGAACTTTTCTCCACGTTTTCCAGGCTGTGAGTTCCTTGGCCAAATGTGCCAAGAGCGGCGGATGGGCGTTGCGGCGTTTAGGTTGAGCAAGCGGCGAGGAGGCAAGTCTGAGGCATGCGATGATGGTGTTTGTTTTTTTAAAAAATTGTTTTTTTACATATAGGTCTAGTAAAGCTTAGCACGAGTAGTTGTACTGATGTTGTATGTAGATGTTAGGCACGTGAGTAGATGCGAGTAGATGGGAGTACCAGTACAAGGCAAGCAGCTTGATTGTGCCTTTAAAGGACAATCAACAATCAAGCAAACAACCTGAGATTATACTTGCTGCGGTGCGGGCGATTCTGACCAGAGACTGAGCAGACACTTTGCCCGGGTTGCTTCACAAGGTCCACTACTGAGTTGCTCTTCAAACGTTCCTTCGATATGTTCTTTGTTGTCTCCGCGAGATCCAAGCAAGCCCAAGCTAGTCCTTGGTTTGCCTACGCTTGCCTTATAGGCACAAACAGTTCTACAGGAAAGTGCCCTTCAATACATGTGACATGTCCTGCAGCTTTTGGGCCAGGTTGAGGGTCTGAGCTGATGAGGGATACAGCGTTTCATTTTGCCCAGATTAGATTAACAAGAAGCTAGTAGTAACAAGTGCCACGCTACTAGTAACAGGTGCCTTACTACTAGCAACAGATTAGATTCACTTTCGATTCTTCGTGACAAAGCCTGGAGAGAGAGAGAGAGAGAGAGAGAAAGGGGTAGGTAGAGAGGTAGAAAGGGAAGGAGAAAGTCAAGCATAATTATGTCACTGTGGGAAGTGTTGCCAAGGCTTCAATACCAGGGACACCTACACCTTTGCATGGTGGAGCAAGCACCGCTCTTGGTGTACAGGGAAGAGGGTGCCGGAACTATTTTGAAGCATGCCAAAGCAGTAATTTTCTGGATGGACAGGCAGCCCAGTCACAAGGGCTGTGTACCAGGACCAACGCACCATGTAAAAGGCAACACACAAAGGATTTTAATGGTCTTCCCGGGCTAGCTTCGCGCTGGCAATGCAACCGAAAGCTCTAGCTTAGTTTCCCGAACACTGAACATATTGCCCTAGTGTAAAATACTGAATCAGCTAGAAAGTCCTCTCAACTTGCGTAGTTGTGCCCAGATTCGTTTCACAGATGATGCCACATGCAACAGAATCTCCATTTTCTGGTCTATTCCACGAAGAATTGGAAGCAAGAATACAGTGCACATTGGTCTTGGTACAACCCTTTGAGATGGACTGCTTCCCGACAACTACACGCTTCTTCAAATACCACGTCACAACCTAAACATGGCAAAACATTCAATTCAATTTGATGTTCCTCTCAGGTATGTCGATTTGTTTGCCTGGCGAACATCGAACTTTCCGATGGGCCTCTAGCTGAGCTCTCTTCTTATTGCATGTTTTGTGGGCTTTGTAGTTGAGTTGCTGCGCTGTGCAACTTGAGAATATAGGAGCTCCGGTCGATCTGTTATAGTTATACAGTATTGGGCGAGGTAGAGCAACATGATTTAGGATTTGATCGCATCATATACATCAACATGATCGGGACGCGCTCATGAGCCTGAATGGCCTGTGTTACAGGACTAAATGGCCCCCTCGAGCAATACGTGGGTCGCGAGCATCTTGGTGCAAGAAGATGGGATGTTTGACCCTGTGAGAGAAGCCAATTCAGAATTCTAGTCCTTTGCAACGGACTGATATCCTGAAGTGCAATTGCTTTTCTGGAGTCAAACTGCCCTGGTACTATCTGGTACTCAGGTTCTTTCATATCAGATGTGTTTTTCAAACACGTACTTGGTTGTGGATTGCTCCATGATGTGTTGTTCAGGATCTGTGCGTCCCTCTTCCGCTTGCCCTTGGAAGAGGAACTGAAAGCCATGGAGGCACTTGAGAAGACTTGAGATTGCGGC